CGAAACGACGCTCTCTCGATGGATTTCCAATTTGCACGAATTCTCATTGAGTTTTCCACTGTATGTGTGCCTTTCCTTTTCCTTTTTTCCTGCAAAAAATAAAGCGATTAATTAATTTATAATTAATAAAGTGTGTCCGAATTCTTCTTACAAAGTATATATCTTTATTTCTCTCTGCCTTTCAATAAAACCTCCATTTCACTCCTTCGCATTAAAACACGAATTCTCCTTACGCATGCCACTGTATGTAACCGTTCATTCTAATTGTTGATGCTGCTCACCTTCTGCTGTCTCTCTCTCTCTCAATCCCTATCCTGTACGATTGTCAGCGAACTAACTGTAAATGATGTTCTCAATGCAGCCACATACTCGCACTCCCTCACACTCACACACTAAGGTGGCGGCGCCCCGGCTGTAGGTTTTGCCACCGACAGTGGTCTTTTTCTTGCTTTATTTGTTGCACTCGCATTCCCACTTTACCCCCCTACCACCCCCACACACTTTCTTGCACAGTTCACTTGGCCTTTGGCACTTTGTCAATTGACAAACAAAACGAATTGCACATTGGATTGTCTGCTCACACACTCGCTTACTGGTGTCTGCCGCCAATTCTGTTGCTTTTACCTATCCTGCGAAGGACCTGCGAGGAATTTTCCAAAATCAAGTTGAGCAACTACATGCCCTGCGGAATTTTTAACGAAACTTGATCAGCATCCTTGCAGGTTGTAGGATCGAATTTAACCCACTCAACCCCCATCTATTTGAACAGGTGAACAGCTTTGGTTACGCCATGGAAAATAATACTGTATTTAAATTCATCTTGAAGATCCATTCTTTGTTTTTATTTCCAAAAAGAAATAACAACTATATCTTTCACCTGAACTCCGCTAGAATTTGTCATGCTTCATTATTTTCGTGGAGTGCATTTAAACACCCATTGGCCGACAATGGGTTATTCGTTTTCTGTCCATGATCGGAAATCATATTCCTTCTTTTTGATATTCTGTTGAATATTACTAGCCAGATAGAACACTCAGCCATGAACACAAGATTTTATCCGATTGATGAATCGATTTTCTACAAGATTAGCTAATTTTATGTATTCTTTTCTTATTGGTTTGTTTATAAAATAAGCTTTAAACGAAAAAGGTCAAAGCATAAAACGTAAGTGTATTTGGAAGGTTACGTCATTGTTGCCTGTCAGCCGTATTTACGGTTGTAATTAATACAAATTTTGTTTACGTTTTCTTGATTGGATTACTATAAAAGCCTTTTTCCAACCCAACCCATCGAAGAAAGTATTTCGAGACTATCGCCTGCATAATCGCTGGAGTGATTTGATATGAATGCAATTCAGTGGTATAAAATTAAATTTAAAAAAAAGCAACGGGCACCAACGAGGACCAGGACCATAAAAACAGCCATTCATGAATATGAATGTTGCAAGCATTGCCCAAGGCTAATAAATAATTTCCATTGGCCCCCATATGGGTTTCGTGGCCAGGTCAATGTTGCCAGGAGGCAAACGTAGAAGTTTTTATATTAATTTAATCCCAACGAAATAATAGTGTATATTTTGTAGTGAAACAACAGCTGGAAAATGCCGAAGCCGCCATGCACGGGCGTCCTGAAACCGGTGCCCATTTACCAGAAGCTTATGGTCGAGAACCTGACTATCGTTCGTCCCCCGATCCTAAAGATCTACTACTGGGAAAGCTTCGACATTTCGGGGCAAGAAGAACCACGGCCCAAATGCGGAACGAAACTCATTCTCTGTTTTCCCTCCCCAGATGGAACAAGAAACTAAAGTCGAACCGTCAGGAGCATGAGCACACAATTGAATTTCCCACACGACACATCGAGAGCCCGCCCCAGAAGATCCTCTTCTGGCTGCGTAATCTCTCCTCAAAGCCCATGACTCTGACGCTTAAGCGCATACAGAACTGCTGCTGCCAGCCCGTGCAGACGCGCGTGGGGTTCAACCAGTTCCGGAAGCTCTTCCACTGTCGGCACCGCAAAATGCTGCACCTCCAACAGGAGGTGCTGACCATCAAACCCGACGAGGTGGTGGCCCTATCAGTCACGGCGTATTTTCAGATATACGGAGAGCATTTGCTCACCTACAAGGTCCAGTGAGTGCTTGAATTGGTAGTGGAAGTGCCTCTCCCTAATGTGTAGCCATTTCCATCCTCTAGCACTGATGACAATCGCAAATTCATGTGGCACTTTCACCTGCACGTCTCGGAGTTGAATCCGGAAAAGTGTTTGCTGACCAAGGAACTGTTGCCTGTGAATATCAAAAACTACTACCACATCACACAACCCATTTGGGTGCAGAACTTTACCAATCTGCACCTCAACTTCTCGTTTTCCACGCGAGACCGCAGCCTGAAGCTGCTCAACACGAACCTCACGGTGCCCCGCCAGAGTGTGTGGCCCCTCCTGGTGGACTATCGCCCCATGGACTATGAGAATGAGGTGGAAGTCCTGCTCGGAAATGAGAGTGCCACGGCCTGGTACAAGATCAAGGGCCGCGGAGTCCTGGTCGATGAGGAGGAGGAGACGGACATGCCGCTAAAGGATCACGAATGCGCCGACTTTCTCTACGTTATATATCCCAATCGAGTGGTCTTTGAGGTCTGCATGAAGGAGGATCGCACGCAGCTGGTGAATGTCCACAATTTCGGGCAGAAGTGCGTCGAATTCCGATGGCAAAAGTAAGCCTAAAGCCATCCCCGTGGAAAGATCATCTAATCAATGGCCCAATCCTCTTGCGTAGCTACATGATCAGTGAATTCTTTTCAGTGTCCTTCACTCCGCCCTTATTCAGCCTCAAGGGCCACCACTCGAAGCTGGTGGAGGTGAAGGTCACGGCCTACGATCGTCTGGTGAACTTTCGCCGCATTCCCATCGTCCTGGAGGTGCACCGCAACCTCGATCAGGCCACGCTGATAGCCAAGCGGGAGCTGGACGAGATCGAGTCCATAGATGATCCCAAGTGGAAGGAGGATAGCTATATAACGCATGTGTATCTTCATCTCAACATCCGCTCCACCCACAAGAGTACTCAGGAGGCGGTGGGCGAAATCGACGAGGCGACGGACACTGCAGCCGAGCGCTCGCCCTGCGGTGGTGGGGGAATTGAGATTACCGCCGGGGCAGGAGGCGACGGCCCTGCCACTGAGGAGCAGCGCAAGGAGACGGAGCGTCGGGAGCTGATCAAGCGTCTGGCCGTCAAGCAGAAGCTCACCTCCAACGAGATCATCGAGCTGACGATGGCGATCGACAACCGCAACACCATCTTCGAGAAGCTCTTCTGGAAGTACCTCTGCAAGTCAAACTTCATGCGCATCCTCCCCGACCGTAAGCGCCACAAGCACACCAAGACCTACGACGAGGTGGTGTCCGTCAGAGCTGATTCTCCGCCAGAGCATGGCGTCGACGCTGATCGCAAGTAGGAATACCCTTCATAGGGATCTACAATCTCTATGATCATCGCTAATCCCTCTCTCTATTGTCTTGCAGCACCATCATGGAGATTCTATCGCGGCTCATGCAGGAATCCATCAATGATTTGGCCAGGAACTGGGTCTTCATTCCATCGCAGTACTACGAGCGCAATCTTTAAGTGTTTTCATTTGTTCTATAAAGGCATTGCATAAGCATTTCCACTCCCTGTTTGCATTCTGGCGGGCGTTCCAACCATTTCGGTTGTCCACACCACGAAATTTATGTAAGATTTCGCACGCGCGCGAAAAGCTTGAGTTCTTGTGGCCGTTCCCCCACTGTCTGGTGGAATTTATGTGTCTGCCGGGCGGTGGAGGCAGGCTTTTAAGACTTCCCATGCAGGCGGGGCGTGGCGGGGGACGGCCAGACATTCGGACAAGAGTATTTATGTATTTATGTGCTCCGCTTGCTTTTAGCTCTGTGGGAATCACACGGAATGGTCAAATTGTGTTTTAATTTGTTTTATTTGGTTCTGTAGCAGTGTCTAAGAAGGGTTGTTTACGGAGTATGAGTTAGTGAAGCTTGTAGGAGTTCTTAAGTAGTATCTTAATTCTTTTCCAGTCGGTAAACTCAATTCATTTTGTTTATAAGCAAATTCTAATAGCCCGCCTATCGCGCCATCTGTTGATAAACTAAAGAAGAACTATTTTGTCGAATCGCCATCTGGCGCACACCTCCCGAAGGCACCATCTAGCGCTTGGTTAGTTAACTTTCCCATTCATAGTGTTAACGAGAGGGAACGTTCTGAGTTTATACCCTATAACATAGTCATTTGTCGAACCTGATACCTATTCAGGGACCAAGAAGATAATAAGCTTTAAAATATCGTTGAAATATTGAAAATAATATTGAATAATTTTAAAATATATTGAAAATAAATTGATTTTGCCTGGGATGACAAACGTATTCACAGTGCTATAACATCCATTTCCCCCAGGGTATGTGTGCATGGAATTAGCAACATTTGTTTATGGAATGAGACTCATTGTTGCAAAAGCGAAACTGCGGCGAATCGGGTATTGCCTATATTTCAAGCTATATAGATTTGCCCACTTAGCTTTATCATAGATAAATGCATTTTCTACAAGATTGCTTCTTTTAATTACCTTAATGTATTTTATTTTGACTAAAATTTCAAGTAAATGTTGACGCAACATCTCGTTTAAAAATATACCGAAAAATACTCGAAATATTCTACGTTTTTGATCTTCCGTCGAATATTACTAGCAATATAGATCTCTCAGCCATGCCCACATAATTTTATCCAATCAATGAATCAATTTTTTTACTTGAGTGGCATAAAATTTTGTGGGCAGACCTAGTAATATTAGACGGAATATCAAAAACGAGGAATATGCATGAATAATTCGTCAGTATATTTACGGTATATTTTGAAATGAGAGTCAGACCGTATATTTTATCGGAATATCCGCGGTCACACTAATATTTACACTGCAGTGGGCTTTATTTATAAATAATTGCTAATTCTAGCAATGGCCGCCGCCCCGTTGAGTGGCCACGAGGCCAGTGCCACCGACTGGCATCTGTGGTGCCGCCTCTGTGCCAAGGATGACCTGCACGGGAACATCAATGTGTTCCTGAAGCACGAGCACACGGGCGGTCCAGGAGATGGCTCTGCCAGCGATTTGGCCCTGGCCACAGCCATCGGCAAGTACTTTTGGGTGGATGTAAGTGGCACGCACAGGCCATATATCCAAAACATCTTCAAAGCAGTATTCATCATTCCACACAGATAACGCGTGGCGAGGAGCTGCCAAAGATGATCTGTACCGACTGCCTCACACTGGTCACAACTTTGGTCAACTTCTCGGAGCGCATAACCCGCGTGCAGAAGCTCTACTGCATTCTACAGACCACTGCCAAGCAGGATCATGTAAATCTGCAGGAGCTTCGTTCCAAGTTTGGGCTGCTGGAGGAGGAACCAGAGACCCTTACAGAAGTCCATTATGTGGAGGAGAAACCCAAGTTGGGGGCCCAGGGCGACCTGCTCATAGAAGAGTCTACATTTGACATGAAAAACCCTTTAAATGAGACGGTAGATGATAAGGAAGAAGAGCTTGAGGCAGCAACAAGTAGAAGCGAGGAGAACGAACACGATTCGGATCAGGAAATAGACGAGGAGGAGGAGGAGGAGCAGGAGCAGGAGTACGAGGAAGTGGATGAAAATGCTGTCCTACTGAAGCTATGCGATGCATATGGGATAACAGAGGATAATTCCTCACGGGACAGCCACAAATGCCCCCGAAGGACGCCTCCAAAACAGAGCAAATCAAAGGAAGACCCCGACAAAGGACATCAGTGTACGATATGCAGTCGAGCCTATGCCAGAGCCAGCACCCTTAACCGCCACATGCGGCAGGATCATGACAGGATCTACGAGACCAATCTGTTGGCGTGCCAGGAGTGCCCGAAGAAATTCCGCACTCGCTACCAGCTGGAACGGCACAGCCAGGGCCATCTGCCGATGCCCAAACGCAAGGTGTTTCCCTGCGCCAGCTGCAACAAGATGTTCGCCAGCAATGCCTCCGCCCTGCAGCATGCCCAGTACCAGCATTTGGATGAACGTCCACGTCCCGTGATCTGTGAGCAGTGCGGAGTGCGAGTCACTTCCATCAGCAACCTCAAGGTGCATGTACTGACGCACACGGACCACGCGCCCTTCGAGTGCGATGTGTGCAAGAAGTGCTTCAAGAGCGCCAGTCGGCTGAAGCATCACAAGGAGACCCACGATCCTCACAAGTACATCTGTCCCGAGTGTGGCATGCAGCTGAATTCACGCACCACCCTCAATCGCCATCGACTGGTGCACACGGATCAGATGCAGCACAAGTGCGACTACTGCGGCAGGGAGTTTAAGCGGGCCAAGGCCCTCAAAAATCATCTCATACTGCACACAGGACTAAAGCCTTATTCCTGTGATTTTTGCGATCGCACATTCGCCAATGGGTCGAATTGTCGCACGCACAAGAAGAAGTCACATCCCGAGGAGTTGGCCGCCCAGGAGGCGGCTGGCGGTGGCAAGACATGCAATCGGAATATACCCAAACTAGAGGCGCTCAAAGCTTTGTGAGTACTCCAACGAATACTCGATTAAATTGGGTTAATGTCATTGTTTCTTTATCATTTTGTAGCACGAAAAACAAGGATAATTTATCGCCTGTGGCCACCAAACAGAGCGGTTGCTTTGCCTTTGGCAAGAAGCCCAAGCCGCAGATCAAAGAGGACGTTAGTCCGCCTGCAGCGGAGCCTGTCGTCGCGGCTGAAGCCGAAACCGAAACGGAGTCTGAAGTCAAACCCCCAACAACGGCCATACCCACGATAGATACTATTTATAACCACATTATGATTGATTACCATTAAGTTTTGTTTATTTTAAATAGTTTTCTAAGAAAAAGTAATCTAATTTACGTTAAGCATACATTATTTGTAGCTTCTTCTTGTAAAACCCCCTAGATTAAACATATATTTATGGAATATCGACTATAGATTCGGCGGGAAAAATGTTTCAAAAGGATTCGGCATGCTGCTGCGCATGTCCTCTGTTTGTCAAAGAGCCGGAGACAGAGCCACCCCCCATTTAAGAGGAGACGAGAGTCCTAGTATAAAGGAATTTAGTTCAGTTGACAGCGTGCGCTTTCCTCGTGTCCTGCTCTCTCTCTCTCTATGAACATTTGTTTAAACCTTTTTCGTGAAGTGGAAAATGTGTAAAAATGTTTCGAAAACAATTAAATATCTAGTCTATAAAATGGCCATTCCGGTCCATAAACACACATCTTACTAAGCAAAAAACTTCTATATCGGATATTATTTGAATGGGAACCGAAAAATCAAAAAAAAATCGATTTATCCCCAATAAAAACAAAGTGCATTCAAAAAGCCATTAAAAAAGCCTATTGCATATCTAATAAATCTAAAGTTGATTACAAATTGATTAATATATAATAATACAGTGACACTGTGCAAACGTAAAAGCTTTAAAAACGAAAAAAAACAAAAGGAATTAGAAAACTCCAAATAAATATAAATTATCACAAATAATCGCTTTAAAACACAAATAATTATACAAATATTGTAAGTAATCTAGTGAAAGGTTTAACATTGAATTGTATTTTACATACAAAACGTATTTATATTTAAATATTTAAATAAATTCAAAGTGCCTGTTTGCCATCCCTGGTGCCCCCGACTCAGCTGTTCTTTAAACTGGTTCGGTGTAGTTCCTTTTCGCTCATTCACTTTCAACAATTTCTACTTCAAATCTAGGGCTCTCTCTCTTTCGTTAAAATTTATGTTTTCAGGCCTGAGGGTCCTAGCTAGCTAGTAATATTTAACCGAAATCGAGGAATATGATGGCATACGAATACAAATAATTCGTCAGTATATCTTTGGTATTTTTTGAGACCGTGACGGTATATTTCTGAGGGTCAGACCGTATATTTTATGTCCGCGGTCACACCGAATTTGTGTTTGTTGCGCGAATTATTTGTCAATAATTGTTTTTAGACTGTCCCGTTTGTGTTTAATCTCTCCCCCACTATCGCAAGTGTGCTGTGTCAAAAAAGTTGAATGAAATACGACTGTTGAGCGCCAAACATTTGCTGTTGTTGCACATGCTACTATCTAGTCGGCGTTTTCCACTTGTTTTTACGCACACTACGCGCCCGTTCATGTGCGCGCGGTTGTATGCGTGTGTGTGAGTGTTGTGTGCTAAAAAAATCGATTCAATTGTAAGTTTTTTGTCTTTAATTAAAGATTAAAGTAATTCTAAGCCACAAATATGCGACATGTGTGTGGCCCGCAGCATAAATATCTTGTTATGCTGCCAGTCATTGTGCTTGGAGCAGGGGTACTGCCCCCAAAACGGGTCTAGAGTGTGTTGCGTAGGCGGACCTGAAGTCCGTTTACTATAAGAAAATTGGTGCCCCCAAATCGGTTTACTATGTGAAAGAGGTTTACACTAGCAAAAACAGAGACTGAAATTGGTTTACACTAAAGAAAAGAAGCTGCAAGTCGTGGTATGCCAACAAAATGGATTATAACGCGGCCCTGCTGGAAGAAAAGTGCAAAAGAAATGGTTTAAAAGTAATGTAAATTTACCTAAAATCGGTTGTCTATGAAAAATACGCGCGTGAAAACGTTTAAGAGTGGGAAAAGTGGACTGGAAATAGCTGCTAAATGAGATAAAAGGAACCCGATAGTGTTTAAATATGGTCTCAAAATCGTTTTAACATAAAAAAATGTTGTAAATTATGGAACAATCTGAAAAACATACACGTATTCTTTAAAAGTGACAAAAAACGAACAAAAATTTGCCTTAAATCAGTTTAAAATATATAAAAAGAAATGTACTCTAAATCTGTTGACTATAACAAAAACGCAGCAAAAATATGTTCAGAAAGGAAACAAGGACCAGGAAGTGAGTGTATCAAAGAAAATGGGCTTGAAATGAACAATCCTTCGTTTAACAACAAAAAACGACAAAAATTTAAGAATTCAAACCTATAATCGAGATTTCCCCAAACAAAAATCGGCCCAAAAATCAGTTTTCATTAAGAAAATCTCTACCGAAATCTGTTTAGCCCAAGAAAAGGCAACAGAAAGTGCATTCATTGTCCAAGAAATGTGAAGAAAAGTGAAGAAAATTGAGGGAAAAAGGCGCCCCCGAATAAAAGTTGATACAAAACAAAAGTTTCTCCTGTGACAAGATGGAAGCCGCGAACCGCATTATCTTTTTGGCTTGACCCAAATTGCAACTGCCCCACAACGCCCGCCCCCGCTCCCCCACCCTTAGTGGCTTCTCCTCTCGTCTTTGTTTTGTGTGTGAAAACTTCATAGTCCCTTTGTGTCGTGAGACTGTGTCCCCTCCCCCTCGCCCACCCACAATCCTGCTGCACATACTTTTTCCCTCAGTTTTCTTCATGATTTTCTTCTCTTCTGTGTGTCTTTTTTTTTATCATTTAATGTGCGGCAAGTTAATTGCCGAAAGAACTTTGCCGAGCTGTTGCTGCTTTTATCAGCAGTGTGGCAAGTTTTTTAAAGTGTCCCCTGGAACACCTCCTCGCTCCATTTACCACCCATTTGCCAGCCATTGGAAATGAAAAACTTGGGGCCGCCCCCGAGCCTCATTAGTTGGCAATTATGAGAGCGGGAGAGCGGTAGAGCGGCAGAGCAGGAGAGAGCAGCGACCAAATGGTCTGCTTGTCAAAGTAAGAATTTCCTTATTGAAATTGTTTTTCTCGCCCTCCAGGGGAAAGAGAGCAGAGCGTGTCCTGGTGTCCCTGCCCAGGATCTGGAGTGGAGTGGCGCGTCGTCTCCCCCTCTGCTAATGCGGATTTTTCGCTCCGAGTTAAATGACTTTTCATTTCTGTTTGACTGATAGAAAAGCGGACGCCTTTCTAATTAGATGGCTTACAGACCCTCCCCCGATATCGGGTGTCCCATAATCCCTAGTGTCCTGCAAATGGACTGCACTTGGCCAGGAATCGTTTCGCAGTCTGTTTCGAGGGTGGCTTGCCGCCTCCCTGTTGCACATCCCCTTTTAATACTTTTGATTGCGAGGGTGGCAGGGATTCTAGTTCTTAGGGGTTTCTAGTTTTAAACTACTTCAAGGCTGTGTTTGCAATAGGGAAAATGCAACAAAGAATGTCCCATAGGAAAGATTTCTAGGGATGCCGTGGGATATTATTAAGGGACGTAATGTATTTATGTTGAAAACAGATCTAAGAGATCTAAGAAATTTGGACACCGGCTTGCTGCTTCTGGGACTCTGTCTTTCCCGTGCCCCATCAAGAAAACGTCGTACTCCTTCGTATTGCCCCCAGAATCTGTGTCTTGTGCAGTCACAACAGGGAAAGTCAATGATAATGTTCTTCAAATGGAACTCCTTCGTCAGGCTCAAAAAGTCCACCATTTGGATGCCAAGGCTGCCCAGGGGAACAGGCGGCCACATGAGCAGAATTATCTGACGGAATGATTTGTCCTTCATCTTCGTCTGTGATCTCGTTCCCGGGGCCGAACATCGTCTTGAGGTGAGGGAGGGAGAAGCAAAAAGGCCAGTTCATAGATCCCCTCGTGCTTTTAGATGTTTAGATGTTTCTTGTCCATCCCCTGCAGGTTTTGCCATCTATTCGAATGTCTTTCGTGGCGAATTTGGGCTGGAAATCAAGAAAATATATGAGCCCTCATTGCAGGCATCGCGGGCGGGATGGGTGTCTGCCACATACCGCCACAGTTGTATCGAAACTATAGGGATCTATAGGGAACTATAGGGAAAATAATAATTTTCGCACGCGGTTTTCACTAATTTTTGAAATAACCTCCGTCCTTCATGGTTCATGGAGTTCTTTTGTCCTTTCGCTGGACTTTATAAATTTGCTGCAAAGAGAGGGATAGCATGATAGACAAAACGCAAAATGAGTGTTCGTAGGGATCTCTCAGTACGTCTCCCGGCTATCAGTCGAATAATTGAGGCACTAACTATTTGTGACAAAACTGTGACACAAAGCCAGCAAAATCGGTTCTAAAAAATTGCAACAATCGATAATCTCTGTCGCAGCGCTGCTTCCAGCTCAACTGGAAAGCCAACTGGAGGCATACATATATGTAGCCCCTCTCTCTCCCAGTGCATGCTTATATACGTTATACGTTAACGTATACGTTAACGTTAACGTTATACGGCTATCAATAAATTTTAAAGTAAAATCGAATTGTGGAGAACGATAAGTGCCTTCTGGGAATGCAATAGTTTGGCAGATAAAGAAACGTCAGAGAAGATATATATTTATCCGGAATTATTATACAAATAGAGTGGCAGTATATTCGGGAATATCGCAAGGATTGATAGGGGTTGTCCTACCACATTATTGTTGTAGTTTTGGTTTTTTAGGTGTGATTAGATAAATTTCTTAAATATATATATATAAAGCTATAGGAAAAACGCAAGAGTTTTCTGATTACCGATAGCCAGAGCATGGCTGTATATATTCATAAATTTCCTTGAAAGAAAATACCTCTCTAGATGAAATCCGATTTATATTGTTTCTAAAGCTTGCATCTAAAGTATTTTAGACTCATTTTTGCCTGGAAATATATTTGTATTTGTAGAATATCCCCCTTTTAAGCACTTTATTTGGCAAAAAACCATCATTTAATCATCTGACATTGTTTGTTATGACTTCATGATTATACAACTTTTAGTACATTTTTTTTAGCAGCAGTCTTTATCTCCCCCGAAAAACCTTTATTTTATCTACACTTGTATCTTATTTTATTGCACGACACCTTGTTATCTAACGCATAAAACTTTTTCAAGTAGTTTTTTTATCAGCACTAAGTCGTCTTTAATCTGGGGAGGGGGAAAAGTGCTGCTGCCCGGTCCCAATGCCCAATGCCCAATGCCCAATGGCCGCTGCCTTGTGGTAGTCCCTGCTGTGACCCATAAAAATCAAAGAAGAAAACCCTTGCCGCCCATTCCA